CAAGTTTTGTTGGGCTCTTACTCACCTGCACCCCACCCACATAATCAAGTGGGTTACAGTCTCGGGAAGTAGGTGGCCAGATGTAAGAGGTTATGCGTTTGGTGCCAGTCCCTATAAGCTTTGCTATTTTGGAAAACATTTTATTTGGAAGACGCAATTTTCTCAGTATAAGCGATTACCAATGTTGAGTAATCCTGGTCAGGCCAAGTCCATGTATAGAAGTCCACTGGGCAGTTGAACACTGACCATTGGGTATATTTTAGCTTTTTACATAAACAAGGTTAGGAGACTATGTTGAACAGATATATATATATTTTTTTCCCCTTCCTATCCGAATTGTCTGTGGTGTGTATATGTCACCACGAAATGTATCTTTTTGTATTAGACATCCGTCGACTTTCTTTCTCTCCTCTTTTTAAATCCATCCCACCCACATTTCCAAAAACTCTCTCTGTTAAGGTTTCATGTCACTCCCCCTCATACGTACACTTTCTCTAAATTCTGTTTTGATTTCCGGAGTTGTTTTTTTCTGTTTTCATTTTGAATTTGTAGGTCTGATGATTTGGATCGTATTTACGATTCCAATGGAATAAATTATGACCATGGAATATTAGTGTTTAAGCCTTTTTATTATATATATATATATATATATATATATATATATGGGGTGCGAGGGATGAATTGTCGTCTAAATTCCACAAAAAAGTAAAATAACACTGGCATCTCATTTTAACAGATATATTTACCAAAATTACACAAAAAATACCTTGAAATACTAAAAAGTTAACTATTCAATAAAATGCTCATTGGCTTCAACCACGGCCTTCAGACGACTTCGGAATCTCCTGCAACTCTTCTGGACGGTCTCCGCGTTTAAGCTGGCGAAAGCTGCCAATATCCTTGCCTTCAGTTCATTTGTTGGTTTCTCACTCAACTGCGTCCCACTCATAAGATTAAAGACCATTGCGGTTCGGGAAGTTCAGTGGCCAGATGTAATAGGTGATGTGGTCGCAGAAATTATCTGACAAACATGACTGTGTTTTCCTGCATATGTGGTATGATGAAGAGTTTTGTTGCCAGGCATAGGGTCTTCCAGTTTACACTATTGACCCGGGGCAATACTACCCCCGCAAGGCACTTGATATCGGCCTCGGTGTTGAATCTGAGGCCCCATAGGAAGATCAATAGCGGCGTAACGTCACCATCACTAGTGACAACTCCAAACAGCATGATGTTGACTGGATATATAATTCAACACTTTCCGAATACTTTCCTCTGTCCACTGATTGACACCCAAACACTCTAAAATGATCGTATTGGAGTTTCCGGTGCGAATGCCAAGTCGTACAGCGTGTTGTTTCCAAATTTATGGCGGAGTGAATTGATAGTGCTCTTTTGCTCACAGATGGTACCCACTGACCCTACTATGCAGTGCAGTCAACAAAATGAAAAACAAACAACGCGCATGTGCAAAATAAAAAAATATATGATTGCGACAATTTACCCATCGCATCATTTGCGTTGTGTGTGTGTGTATATATATATATATATATATATATATATATATATATATATATATATATATGCGCTTGATAACCTTAAATCCTATGAAATGATGGTTCTAGTCTTAACACCAATTTCATGTGCACGCAATCTTCAGACGACTTGAATCTCAGGTTACAACTAGATCCATGATTTCATAGGATTTAACGTTGTTAACCGTTTTTGTCTCGGTCGAGGCAATCTAGGCTTCGAGCACTTTACTTGGTAAGTATGATTGCCTTAGCCATATTTCTCTTTTATCTTGCAGCATTGTCGTTTTTATTCGAAACTTCATCTGGATAAGGGTTTTAGGTATTGACAAGGTGTACGTTAGTTCTATCTGTCGATTTGTTTTTCTTTAATATACATGTATATTTTCTTTAATATACGTATCTATATATATATATATATATATATATATATATATATATATATATTATATGTGTGTTTGTGTGTGTGTGCGAGTGCGTGTAAATACATAATAATGTTCACTGAGCAAATATTTTAACAGTAATCGCAAAAATTATTTTGTTGTGACGATATTCTTCTTTTCGTAAATGGTTAAGAATAAACGAATTTACATTTTTTCTCTCACACACATTTTTTCCATTTCTTTACTTATGAATATATATGTGAATACATACATACATACATACATACATATACACACACACACATATATATTTGTGTATTTAAGCAGCAATCCTTCTTTTATGCACACGCACACACACGCACACATACATATATATATATATATATATATTAGATTTATATACATTTCTTTAATTAAATTTTAATATTCATTAGATTTATATATTTTTCTTTTAATCATCTTATCTGAATAAAATGGATTATTACCACCGCTGAACTTTTCATCTGTCATCGATAGGTATCCTAACTTTTGTTATTTATTGATAATTTGATAATGCACACACACGTACACACACAATTATACATACATATATATATATATATATATATATATATATATATATATATATATATATATATATATATATATATATATATATATATATATATCATAATAGTTCGTTAATTTATTCTTTTAAATGTAGTTGTTGTTCGCACTACATAGGGAGAACGACTCAAAGCCTGGATGCTAGAATAAAGCAATACGTTCCCAAGCGAAAGGCCGAAACTTTAAGTACATCCCCTTAGACATTTTGGCCAATACATATGGCTCGTAGGACACCTAATAAATAGCCATAATTGTGCTGCTAGTTTTATTGTGGACTTATTTACCATTCTTAGCAGGTTCCACTCGAATTACCACTTAAAAGTGTTGGAGGCCGTCTGTATTCAATCGTTGAAGACTTCTCTGTGTAAACAGAAGGACTTTGTATTCGGCCTTCAACTAATTACCATCTAAACATTTTTTTTCTTTTTGTTTTTTTTTTCCTCCAATACACTTTGTCAATTTTTTTTTATATATATATATAATTCAGTTTATTAACATCGATTTAGCTCTGTTGGGCGAGGTTTGAAACCGGTTAGCTCGCCCGATTTTCAGTTTTATTTTTATTATCATCTTGAGTGTTAATAATAAAATTAATTTTTATCTATTCATGGCAGTTATAAACTTATGTACCACTAAACATATCTTTAAATATATATATATATATATATATATATATATATATATATATGTGTGTGTGTGTGTGTGTGTGTGTGTGTGAGTGTTTGTGTGTGAGAGAGAGTGAGAGAGGAGAGATAAGATCTTAGTTTTAGTGATATTTAATTTATTGAAATATTAATTTAAATGTTTACTTATACTAGGATCTTTACCGCCAGGTACAAACAATGCGAAATATTAAACCCAGCACCAATTCAGATGCCGGCACTTATCAAATAAATTGTTTACAATATAAAAGAATTTACGTCAGTGCGACATCACGGGATCAAAAATTCCGTATCGACGGACATAAAAAGAGATTTATGTTTAGACAATCATTGAATCTCTCTCGTGATACCCACGAACAAAACTGGTCATAACTTGATTTTGCTGATGACACCCCAATTAAAAACGAACATAATTCTTTACTGGGAAAGTACATCAAGAGCCTATTAATAATAATAATAATAATAATAATAAGAATAATACAAACTCTAAACAGACGCCAAAAGTCATTATAATGATCGACCTTTCCCAGTTCGAAAAAAATGCTTCTCGCACACGGAGGAAATTCCTCAAGAAATTGCCCGAAGTTCATTTCGGAAGAGAATACCAGGACATGTGTACTACTACTACTACTACTACTGTACTGATGCGGAATTCACCCTGGGCGGCTTCTTCCTGTTATGAGAAGAAGATTCTTGGGATAAATTACAGAAGTAGGGTACCCAGGCCTACTCGGATAACGTTCTTGCTTGCCGTGGGGTTCCCACAGACAGGAACGACCAGAAGCCGCCGGTTACCGATGCAGATGCTCCTTGGATTTTCACCAGAGCCCTTGTTAGCCGGCATGTGTGTCAGACCTGTCCGCCTTGGGTGGCCCTACCAGGAACGAAGTTCCGGGCGGCATAGCTCTGACACTACCGTTTACACCCCCCCACCACCGACTGTGAGGTAAGGGTTGGACTTTCAGGGCTTACAGTACCAGGTGTTCCCAAGCGGTCCCCCATCTAAGTACTGACCTGGCTCTACGCTGCTTAACTTCGGTGATCGTACGAGAACCGGTGTTTCAGCGTGATTTGACCGTAAGGACATGTGTAACGAGTTTGGACTTCCTTTGGTCATCATCATTATAGGTAGAAACAATTGGTGTTTTTAGTAACATTTTGAAAGGGTATAACAAGGCTAATTTTAGAAAAAAAATAAGCTGTTAGAAGTATATGTATAGCACATGTTGTGTTCTGGGTCGTAGAAATAATGAGTCTTATAATGTAAAGAAAGATGGTTGTGACGTCAGTGAGTTATGACGTTCTTTTGATATACATATGAGGATACTGACTCTTAAGTTATAATTGTTTTTATTTATTGATGATTATTTTTACTGCATGAGTATTGATTCGAGGATCATAAGTATTTTTTTACTATTTGATTTTACTAGTATTTTGGTATTGTTTGTGAATTGCTGTCTAATGCTACTATGGTCCGGATGCTGCTTATTAATGTGTTGTCTCATGGCACTCGGGTCCGCTGGATGACAAGTTAAAGAGAGAGAGAGAGAGAGAGAGAGAGAGAGAGAGAGAGAGAGAGATACTGAAAATGAGGGAGAGAGACAAAGAGAGACAGAAAGTCAGAGAATAGTGAAAGATTGTGTGGACATAGGAATCAGTACATCATAATTACTGTTTCATTCCATTTTGTAATCTTCAGATCAAAATATAGTAATGCGAGTTGAAATCCCCTAAACTAGATACTCTTATGAACGCTTACAATAAGATTGATCTTTTGAAAATAGCAAATATTCAGGCCAAGACACTGCAGTTTTTGAATGCATCTAAACTCCATCCCTAGGCTCATTATCAAGCATCGGCCATTCAACCACGCAGAAAGACACGATCGGTTTTCTATCTATTGTACCTTTGAGAATTACTGTGACATGGTCACAAGAGATGGTTAAGATTTGTTTATACCATTCTGGGGCGAACCCCCAGATGTCACTAAGAAATATTAGCTTTAGTGTCCTATTTAGAGATACGGGTACAAATACCGAGTCCTTCCAAAAGCAATATTAGTTTAGCAGCTAGTTTCTTTTTTATTTTCTCTTTTTTTTTTCAATGTCGAATCTCGTCAGTGAGAGGTAACATCTTTAGTTTCGTATTAGTATACATCAATTTGCGGTGCGCTTGCACAAGAGTACGGCCGGCGGATGTTGTACATTCGGTAAATGTCACTGACATCCGTTTTTTTTTCTCCATTTTTTTTTAATTAAGAAAGATTCTCTGCGTCATTCAGTCTGGATGTTCGTTATTCCAAAAAGATGTCACTGGGTCAACACGGCAAATCTCTTATTTTGGGCTTTGTTATTAGCAGCTGCTTCTTCACGGACCACCCAAAGGAAAAAAAAAACTGCGATGAATTTAATGTTTTTCGTATTAGTTTCTTAGTGACTGTCAAGTTAAAGATATATTGGAAAGGAAATGCTGTGTTTAAGTGAATATGAAATTTTAAAAAATGTTGGTACAGGCTTTGGTAAATTTGGGAGAGTCAAGAGCAGCACCTTACCCAGGAATTCTTCTCATCTTGAGCAATATTATGTTACGATTTTTTTTTCTAAAAGTATTAATGGAAATAAATAAATCAATACAGTTTGTCCAAAAGTGCATATGGCGAGTTACTTCTTGTAAACATAAATATTTGACTAAGTACAGAATTTGATTATTTTTTGTATAAAGCCAATGAGTTTGAGCAAGAGGTATCTAAATGAATATACTAGTTCTGAAGAAAAATGCTATTTAAACGTTTCGAGGAATTTAGGTATCAAAGCATAAAAAAATGACTAAACACACACATTGCTATGTTGCTTGCGATAAAAATTACTTACTTTTATGTACTATTTTTAAGTTTCCCACCTAAACCAACGAGAAGGAAAATGTTTGTTTTTTTTTTAAATATTCGAGAGAAGTGATTTCTATACTGGTCTGTTTGTGAACATACTAACTATTAGAAAAGTTTGTAGGTTTTATTGAGGACTATGATCAAGTAGGTGATATAAATTAACTTATTCGTTTCGCAATTTTCCAAAAAACTAAACAAAAACAAAAAAGAAAAAAAAGAAAAAAAAGAAAACAAAACAATAAAAACAAAAACAAAAACAAAAAAAGAAAACAAAAATGCAAAACCAAAACCAATGAATTATCACCTTGCTTGTCTTCTACCGATTTTGTGTTCTATCCACAATTCTTCAAGCTCCAACGATACAACAATGAATGATCAATTTCTTTTTTATTCGCTTTATTTTATGGAGTACTATAATGGTAATGTCGTTTCTTGTAGAGAAGATAGAGAGTACGGACATCAGTTGGGTGCACAACTCTCATCCCCACTTGGTAGCCTTTCTTACTAAGCAATATGGGAGCTTTACGTTGTCTGCACTCTTCTTGCAAATTGTACTGCTTTCTTCGCGCGGTTTCCGCTTTTATACGAAAATATAACCAAAAAGAAAAAACATCACTGACCGAATTCCACACGTACAGTGGTCAAATCATCAGCATTGAATTTGGGCCGTCAGAGTTCTGACCAGTACAATAGGGTTTGCTATTTTGTACTAGCGTCTGTATTTTAACACTCGAGATTTGGATTTTCAAATCTCGTTGATTATCTATTTTTTTTTTTTTTTTTTTTTTTTTGCATTTAAAAATTTCATTAGAAACCTTTTCAGAGATTTAGCATTTTGGGTTCGAATACAGTTAAACAAACACTTGTTATAATGATTTCAATAATATTTGTACTATTTTTGTCATGTGGCCGTTTTTAACTCCCAACTCTAAGCGACGAAAAACGAAATATCTGTGCCAATACTTATGTTAACTAGCTTTTAGCAAATACATAATTTATATTTAGATGTGTGAATAGAGAAATAAGTGGAGTAACGGATAACGGCTCCGATTGAGGAATCGGAGAGCCGAGTTCGAATTCCACTCGTATCAGTTACATTTACTTACGTGTTATACCCTTGGGAAAGGTATGAATCCTCTTCTTCTCCCCCCCCCAAGCTATGGGTAAATAACAGAACAGACAATAGAATAGTTGCCTTCGATGGCAACTGGCCTACCGCAGAAAGAAATGGTAACCTACTGCGAGAAAAAAAATCTTCCTCGTCAGTCATGTATCGAAAGATACATGATCGCCTAAGCGTATATCACACATGGCACATAAGTGACTAAATAGAGAAAGACTATGTTATTCGTAGAATGGTAATTGTAAAATAAAGCTTTGATATTTAACCAGAATTAAACGTATTTTTTTTTTTTGATATTTATATTTAAATGATACGTTATTTAAATTCGGAAGAATTTTCAGAAAATGAAAGGCACAATGCAATCATATGATAATGAAATCTGTTGACAGGTTTTTAGCAAATATTTTATTATAATAAAAGGAATAGTACTAACATAAGTAAACCCATCGGGGAAAATATGAAAAGCAAACTACAGTAACTTCTGCAGAAGATAAGGAAGGAAAACGCGAAGAAAGGACTAAACACCAGGAAGACAGAATTCACGGGTGTCAGCAAAAGAAATCACCCCAACATGCATATTTACAAGTAGGAGACACCAAAAACAAACAAACAAACAAACAAAAAACACTTACAAAAATTGAAATATCTAAGAAGTGGTTTAACAGGGGACGAAAAGTGCAACACGGAAATCCGAAGGTACGTTTGGATAGCGAAATAATGCTTTTCAAAAACTAAGCGAAGTATTAAGAAACAGAAAAATTTCGTTAGGAACAGACAATCGAGCACTGAACTCTTGTTTAATGTCAGCCCTCCTATACGACACTGAATGCTGGTCAGTGTTGGCAAAGATAAAGAAGACGCTTGAAACATTCCTCCAGTTACATTTTAAATCGACTATCTTGAATATTTTTGAGAATGATTTATATTCTAGTACATCCATCACGTTCAACCAATATAGCTGTACAGTCATCATTAAAAATGACCGCTGAGAATTCATCTTTATGTTATTCGCTTAAGTCACTCGTTTGATTCTATGATGCTTACCTGTACGTGATAGGTTCGTAGCTTTCCTGTCTCTTTTGAAAATCTGCTTTCTTTTTGCACTTATGCTGACAACTATTACAGTGTAAAACATCACAGAATATTTTTAACTTACCGTGTTTCTCTTTTCAGGTTATATCTTTCTTTACTACCCGTAGTAATATATATATATATATATATATATATATATATTAATTAATTTAAAATATGCTTTTTTTTCGCTACACAGTTCTAACCATGCTCTGTAAATTTACATTCAGCACTTTTTTGTAAAAATAAAAATATCTATAAGAACACCGGATTATATATCTTACTGTTCTTTCTTTTATTTAAATACATATATATATATATATATATATATATATATATATATATATATATATATATATAATGAATAAATTATAAAAAATAATTATATATATATATTTTTTAAAATATGATTCATTCGCTGAGTTCTCATGTTTCAAAAACGAGAGCCGAAACCATCAATATAATTATTAAAACTACATTGAATTAAAGTAACAAGCCCTTTTCCATCCTAAAGCAAAAATTTAGGAACTCATTTTTGAAACATGAGAACTCTTATGTAGCGAAGGAATCGTATTTAAAAAAAAATTATAATCTAAACTCTACTTCTGTATGGAGCACTGTTTTTTAATAAAAACAAAAATAATAAAGAACCCGAGATTGTTTACCTAACATATTCTTTCCTATTTTTCTACATACCTGCACACACACACACACACACACACACACACACACACACACATATATATATATATATATATATATATATATATATATATATATATATCATATGTATTATAAAACCAGGTCGTGTGTGTGTGTGTGTCTACGTTTATATATAGGATCGGATTTCCTACATTTTTCAAACTGATTTCAAATAAAACTTCACAGGACTACGTAAAATTACCTTGCGGTGGTTCTGACAGCGCCAAAAATTGGAAAAACACAATTGTTTTTTGCACGAAATCAATTTGAAAACACGATTAAGAGGCATCGAGAGAATGAAGGGGACAACTCATATTGAGTTATACTTATTATAAAACCCAGGTTGTTTGTGTGTGTGTGTGTGTGAGTGTGTGTGTGTGTGTTCGTTTATATATGGGATCGGATTTCCCTACATTTTTCAACCGATTTCAAATAAAACTTCACCTTTTTTGCAGGTAGTGTTTCTTATTGTCTTGCACA